CGATTTATTTTATTCATGTCTCTCTTGGACCCTTGGTACCTTGTTAATTTACTCAGCGATTGATCTGGACTGAGGTTGTTGTTTCCAGTATCGCTTGTCTAGAAAATGTAATTTTTCGATGCAAAGAAAACTTGATCGATCACAATAAGGAGAAGGGTTAATTTATGCCAAATGCTTCAACTTAAAATCAAATTATCATAGATACATTGTATTCTAGATTACAGGAATTGTACTATTACGTGGGAAATTATACCTAAATTATCTCATTTAATTAATCATTTTTCTTAACCTGTGGAACTTTTATGAACAATTCCTTCAATCCATGGATCCCTTTGTCAGCAAAAGAATCAACATAGTCCTCATATCGATCATACAGAAAGGGCAACGTTTCCGAGCAAAGTAAACCTTTAGGCATAACAAATTTAGAGAAACAATTTAATAGGCCAATTCAAACTTCAATTTAAGTCATGGACATTAAATTAATGCAACTAATTAAGGTGAAGATTCTTACCGAAATAAAGGAGATCTAAGAAGCTGAAATGGTTTCCAATTATGGTCAGTATGTAGAGACAAACAATGTTCTGATGAGAAAATAAGAATAATTAATTGTTAGTGAAATTCTCGCCAAGCTTAATTACTATAGGTTAAATTGTATTGTTTCCCCCACGTAGCCAAAGTGTACTCAGTGGGGTCATTTGACCCCATTGAAATTATGAAATAACTAAAAATAGGTATATATTTTATAGTAATTAATAATTTTGATCCCATTAAATTATGTTGACCCACTAAAATTACTCATATTTTATTGATCCCACTAAAATTACTCATATTTTATTGATTTTGGAATTCGAAAATACTCATATTTTTTCACGTTTTCTCTCTTCCTCAATTCCTCTCTTCTTCTCTCATACTTTCTTATTCATTGGTTGGATTAATCCAAAAAGACTATTCATTTGGAGGTCATAGGATAAGATGATGTTCATTTTTTGTTATCTTGCTTAAAAATCTCTTATTCTATCTTTTTTAATTGATGAAAGATCAAGAATTATGTTGCCCTAGGTTGTTTTTATCATTTTATGTATGTAATTGACATAATTCAATTATGGTGTAGCCAAAGTATAATTTGATATATATAACTTCTAAAATTAAATTTTTAGAATATAATTTTTTATGCTTATTAATTCAATATATATTTTATTGTAAATTTATCAACTTACATCTTTTGATCCCACTAACTAGAAATCTTAACTATGCCCTTGGTTGCCCCCTATCTATGGCATAAAGAAATATAACCCTTTTGATTAAAAAAATTAATAATATTAGCCCATAATTTAAAAAACAACAAAAGAAATGCATTAAGGTCATTTTGCCTACACTTATAGTCTTATATCATTTCAAAAATAAAAATAATAATAATAATAAAAAAATCTAACATTAAAATAAAAAATTTAAGAACAGTCTTACTCCTTTGATTTCATAAACTAATAATGTTACCTCTAATTTTTAAAGTTAAATGTTCAGATTAAACATTAAAGAAATAACATTGTTAGTTTTTGAGATCAGAGAATAAGATTTTCTTAAATCGTTCTATTATATGGTTGTAAAGCATACCAGAAATATGAACTTTAGATTATGTCCAATAAGCAAGCATATCACAATGTATTGGAGTTGATCTTTTCCATATGCAAGGTCGATAAGGTCCATTAGTACCTGTTATTGTAGAATTGTGGAAGCACTTTAAATTAATACAAATTAAATAATTCATTAATTACACACAAAATATAATAATTTAATATGATTGGCTGGAAAGTCTATTTTCAGAGTAATAATACTCTTACAATCTAGTTTTACAAACTTTCTCTCATAACTCCGACCTCACAATTGATCAGTTCGCAAATAAGTCTTGCTTTTCTATTTACGAGTTGATCAATTGCAAACTATCACGTCAGTGTTATGAGATAAAGTTTGTAAGATTAAATTGTGAATCAATTTTTATTCTTTCAGAAAAAAAGAGAAATTCATTATCATATACTATAAGATATAATAATGCTGACAAAATCCTTAAAGACCAATAGTTTCAGAAGGTGTAATTTAAACAAACTTTTTTTTACATCTCAACAGTTTTATTAGTTGTATTTCTATTTTAACATACTTTTTTTTTCTTTTTAAAGAAATATAAACTCATAATCATAAGAAAATTATAAAAAGAAACTAAACGAAATTCTTTACAACACCTTATTCAATCTCTCGCAGAAGGTTGAAGCAACTTGATTTAAAGTTGCACAGAAGGTTGAAACAGCTTCTCTTAATGTTGATTCACTTATTATAGTTCCGTTGAGAAGAAACCTGAGATTTGCAGATAACAGCTTAATGAAGATAATGTCTTGGATATATAAAAATTACAATTCTAACAGTAAAATTATGTTATAATGCAAGAGGAAGATGTTTTAGTGCGAAGAAGAAACAGATACCGATGGCCGAAATATATTTGAATAATGAACCAAATGTAAGGTACGAGCAACGTGGCCATAGAAATGTGGCAGAAGAGAGTCACCAAACTGTACTTCATAACCTCGAAAAGAAACCATATCACTGTCGTCCCTATCAACAGCGAGGCTGCTGCTTTTTTATTCTTCCATAACAAGATATCCGCAACTGAGAATTTAATTCAGTAAATTTCGTTAATTTTTCATCGACAATGAGTTGGCAGAATGAATTATGTAAAATATATAGTACCTCTTCCTCCTCCAAGAATGGCATGTACGGACTGTTGACGCCCAAATAACCTTACCGGTTGTTGTTGGGGCATTGTTACTGGTGCAGTTTGGCTGCACTGTTAATTAATTTGGCGAATGAGTTTTTGAGATATGCAATTTACTCCAATTTAAATATATGGACATGAAGGCTCTAGGCTTCTCAAGAGAATTATTTAACTCCATTGAAGAAGTAACGAATGTCTCGGGGCTTTTCTTTAAAAGAACATAAGTTTGAATATGAAGCCTTCTATGATATTGGCCAACAATTGCATAAATTTCGGAGAAAGAATTTAATTACTGTGTATTATTTAACTTGTTGCTTTCTTTGAAAGTAATTTTATTTAAAGGCATTTGAATATATTTTAAAAGGAATATTATCTATTAGGGTAAAAATTTTCGTACTTTATCAATGGAACGAAATAAGTTACAATTTGTTCAATGAGGGGACAATTAACATTTATTTGCTATTAACTTTAACGGAAAATGAAAGAAATGATTTAGATGTGTCCTTGCCATTTTTCTTTTTTTAGGTGAATTAGTTCTTAAAATCTAAATTTCAAAAAATTTGAAAAACTAAAAAAAAAAAAAAAAAAATGACCAAAACCAATTTTATTTAAAGGAAATAAAAAAAATTAAGAAATTTAAAACTAAAAGAAAATTTAATAAAATATTATTATTTATTTTGTAAAAAGCAATATTTAAATCTTTTACTTGTTTAGTTTTTTAATTTGAAAATTTTTAATATCTATTTTGTAAAAAGAATAATTAATTTTTTTTCAATTATGTCTTTACCCATATATAAAGTTAAATCTAACCCTAAGTAGTTGTTTATTGTTCTTTAATTGAACAATTTATAACTTATGTCTTCCCATAGATAAAATATAAACAGTTTGTACATTATTTGATAACATCCCTTTAAAGAATGCTTTTATTTTCTTGAAAAGTATAATACCAAATGCTTCTTTGAGAAACATTTTATTTTATTTTTTAATTCAAAGAATCGTAAAGAACTTTCATTTAAGTTCACTAAATTTTGCAAAAGAAATATTAACCACTTTTAATTATTTGAAAGTGCATGCTTTTGGATAGAGTTAAAAGAATATTTATAAATCATCTAATATTATAGAATAGAGTTAAAAGATTTTCTATTTAATATAACTAAATCCTGACCACCTATTTTTAATTTATTTTCTAAAAATTACGAGCCCTTAGATATAGGATCTATTAAAGCAATTTATACTTTATTGACTCATGAAATGTACTAAATTCATAGTATTGTCAGATGATATAACCAAGGAGGGAGTAAATATTGATCATAGATGATTCAATATAGATAAATAGATATATTATACAAAATTTTCTTATATCTAGAAACAATATGAGTTTGATTTTGGAAATTGATTGCAAATTATATATAGACAATTTTGTTTTTCTTTTTTAATATATTGTGAGAGTATATTCTTTCAATATCTTACATTTTATCAAGTGATTCAATTGTAACACACCAAACTTCTCATTTTCTCAAACATCAAATATCTCTGCCATCAATCCAACGATTTGAAATACTATAATCCACAAGTGAAACATAGTTTTCAATTTCTCTCATAAAAAGAATTTAGTTCTTACATTGATTTATACACAAGCTTAAACTAAGTAGATCAACCTCCAAGGTTTGTACAAGGGGAATTTGATCCTTAAATCTCTTACTTCCATCGGCTTCACGACCTTTGATGATTTTGCTTGTAATTATATGAACATGCATGCTTGTTAAAGGAAATGTATGTTAGTTATATTTACAAATTGCATAAATTCAATCGATTCATTTTATTCATGTCTCTCTTGGACCCTTAGTACCTTGTTAATTTACTCAGCAATTAATTTGGGTTGAGGTTGTTGTTTCCAGTATCGCTTGTCCAGAAAATACAATGTTTCGATGCAGAGAAAACCTGATTGGTTCCCGCAAGGAGAAGGGTTAATTTATGCCAAATGCTTCAACTTAAATTCAAATTATCATAGACAAATAAAGTGAGGTGAGAAATATATACAAAGATAAAGGAGACTTAACGAGCTGAAATAGGATTCAATCATGGACAATATGTAGAGAGAACTATTTGCCTACACATAAATATAGAGATATAGGAGAGAACGTAAGTGTTCAATTTCGATATACTTCTGTCAATTATGTGAAAATTAACTTAGAATGGTTTGTCAACTTTTCTCTAGTTTAATTACAACAAACCAGAATCAAGAGTGTTGGATTTTGCCCATATGCGATTCTGAGAAAGTTTCCTAAGACGAAATCAAATCTTGAGCAGAAAATGTGAGCAATTAATTCTCTAAATCTGGCTTCAAAGTAAGTTATTCCGAGAATGTTGAGGGGATCCCTGCAAATAATCTATATGTCAATATGGATCGATGAAACTAAACCAAAGATAGAGCTTGTAACATTAAGTTATAAAAATATTCAATTTGTGTGAATAAATGAGTACCAGTAGAAACTTGTAATAAGCCAAATCCTTATGTAAATTATAAGTATTAAGGAAATGGAAATATGACAGAGGAGACCCACGAAATTGTACTCCATAACCTCAACAAGAAACCATATCACTGTCATTCCGATCAAAAGCGCGGCTGATTCAGTTATTTCCTCCCGAAGAAAGTAAACTTCGTCTGTAAATTCAATTCATGCTAAATTTTCAAAACCTGACAAAGCTAATAAATAATACATGGACATGCACGAAAATCGTAGGTGGGATGAACACTATAACATAAAGTCGATGTTCATGTCTGTCTCAGGTCTCTCCAATAAAATTTTATCATAATATCGAATAATAACATAAGTTAGACAGTTAAGAAGATAATACCTTTTATTGTTTTAAAACTGGCACATGTTAACTGCACCTAGCGTGGTGCGGTTTCATTCAGGGATGAAGACATGGACATGGTGGTTTAATTTGCAGGTAATTTTGGTATAGTTTAAAATATATATGAAGGTGAAGGGCTCTTATAGACTTGTTACGAGAATATATTTACCAAACGAAGAAGCAAGGAATTTTTGGGCTTAATTAGCTTTCAATGTACAGAAAAGTTTGCATAAATTTTATCTCAAAATGCGAGAGAAAGAAATAGCTGTTTGCGTGTCCTATTATTTGTATCGACATTGAGAATTTCTTTTATATATATATGCATGTTATATCTTCGATGTTATTATATGCATTTAATTTATACCAAATATGGTCATGAAGATATAGACAAAAAAATTTCGATCGAGGGGGCAAATTTAAAGAATAACATAATTTGTTATCAACATTGAAAATAATTAATAAATTTCTTTAAAATTGAAATAAGTTCGTATTAAAAAACAAAAAGTTGAAGACAAATAAATAGTATCGTTCATAATTTAGAATGCTGTTATATAAAATTGAATATCAAATTTAAAGATGCTGCTGAATGACAGCTAAGTAATATTTTTCTATACAGTGCCTACCTATTTATAATAAATTAGAACTTCTTTTAATAAATTTTATTTAGGGTTTTTAAAAAATAACCATATTTGTAGGGGCTTTTAGTAAATAACTAAAATTATGGACCTTATAACTTATATCAATGTGACCAACTAAACTTAAGTAAATACAATTTTGCTTCACCCCTAGCCTCCCAACACTTTATCACTAACCCTATCAATTTCTAATTCTCATTAGCAAAATCTCACACCCAAAAGCATGAAATAAAGTCAGATCAGTCAGTATATCCAGGTGTTAAGATCGATCCTGACTTTAAATTTGTAGATTTGAATGTTTTTTATAGATTCAACTTAGAACAATTGTGTTCTTTTTTTTTTTTTTTTTTTTGTGTAATGTAGGTATTGTTTTAAGATTTAGGAGTGAATAAATAGTGTAATGTTAGTTATGTTGTGGTAATAAAGTATATTTTGTGATGCATTATTTGGGAAATCACGTATAGAAAAAAAAACTCAATAGTTGATATGAAAATTTTAGTTGACGTGAAATTTTGGGGAATTGTTCATGGCAAAGTCCCGGTGTGATTTTTTACACTAATGCAGAGATTTCACGTTAATAGTATGAAAAATCACACAACTCAATTTTTATTTTTATTTAAATTTTTTGTCATTCAAATTTTCTTATATCTTCTGTATTTATATCGCATGGTAGTTTAAAATAGCACATGCGGTTGTTTTGGTTGGGTACGGAGGACAATGCACAACTATGAACGATAACATAATGAGTTATGTTGAAGGAAAACATAAAATGCTTAAAATCTATCCTGATATGACGTATGATGGATTGGTTGAGTTGTTGAACGATCATCTATGTATTGGCCGTAGAAAAAATACTATCTGAATAGCTATGAAATTTTAGGATGCAATCAATGGAATGTCTTACGATATCAAGGATGGTAATGATATTGCTTCTTACATTGCCTTTTGTTAGAACAACGTCAATTTTTTCATTCATATTGGAAATTTGAAAAGGTAGTCTTCCGTTGTGGGTTTGGGAGCACATATATTTGAAAGTGATAGTAACAAATGTAACGATTCATTATATATGAGCGGCGTGGGAAATTATGCAAAAATGGTAATTGGTATAAGCATTAGAATTTTGGTTAATTACTAAAAGCTCCCACAAATATGGTTATTTATTAAAAACCCTTCTATATTTACTACATCAGAACTACATCTAACAATCTAAATATCCAAATAAAATAACATATGAAACAAATAGACTAAGAGTTAGTCATATTAATCCCCTCAAGGTAGGATAAAATAAAACAACAAAANAAAAAAAAGGGATACTTTTGGAGTTTATATCAAAAGGAGAATATTTTAAGTGCAATAGGTATTATTCTTTGCTTAAATTTTAAGGATTTTGTTCTAGTATATATTGAAACTAGAGTAAAGAAAGAAAAAGATGGATATATAAAAATTCTCAAGTGTCGATTATTTGCATTTTAAGAAACACAGATAATAAATATAAAAAGAAAAAAATTTCAATTTTCAAAATTCTCTAAAAAATTTTGTCTTTTGTCTTTTAATATTAACTTGTAGTAGTTAACCGTCAACTATTACCGATAAATGAAATCCTTATTATAAAGATATTCAAACGGGCGAAAGTTTCTTGTTTGAATTAAAATGAAATTTAGAGTTTCTTGTCATTCCAAAGTTTGTTATATGTTGACCAATTTCTTGGGGTTTGGACCATCAGAGAATAAATTTCAAACTTCTTTTAACATTTCGATCCACTTGTTTTGATAGTTGTTTTATTAATTAGGATGAAAAAAAAAAAAAAATAGTTGGGGAATATTGCTTTATTATGGTCTCTTTATTTTTATTTTCTTGAAGTTTAGTGTTTTGTAATCTCCATGCAAAACCAGAATGGCCATCCAGCTGAAAGATAAAAGTGACTAATAAAGCATACAACCTTAGAGAGAAGACAGTCATACTATTTCATCATTCAACTCTGACTTTCTTTTAAAGATCGATGCAATCAGAGAGCATAAGGAGTTCGATCAGAGAGCACAAAGAGCTCGATCAGAAAGTACGGAAGGAGTTCGATCAAAAAACGTGAAGCTTGTTCTGAGAACACAAAGAGTTCGATTAGAAAGCGCAAAGCTTGATCTGAGAACTCGAGATCAACAATCTGAGCGTGCAATCCGCAATCTAGCCACGCGATCGAAGAGCTACAGATCAGCGATCTAAGCGTGCAATCAGCGATCTAAAGCTGAAGACCAAGACGATCTGAGCGTGCGATCAGAGACCTGGCCACGCGATCGGAGAGCTAAAGATCAGCGATCTGAAGCTAAAGATTAAGATGATTTGAGCGTGCAATCAGCGACCTTACCACGCGATCAGAGAGCTAAAGATCAGCGATCTGAAGCTAAAGATCAAGACGATCTGAGCGTGTGATCAACGACCTGGCCACGCGATCGGAGAGCTAAAAATCAGCGATCTGAAGCTGAAGATCAAGACGATCTGAGCGTACGATCAACGATCTGGCCATGCGATCGGAGAACTCTGACGCGTGCGATCTACGATCTGGCCACGCAGTCGGAGAACTCTGACATGTGCTATCTGCGATTTAGCCAAGCGATCGAAGAACTCTGATGCGTGCAATTTGCGATATGGCCACGCGATCAAAGAACTTTGATGCGTGCGATCAGCGATCTGAGAACTCTGACGCATGCGATCTACGATTTGGCCACGCGGTCGGAGAATTCTGACGCATGCGATATGCGATCTAGCCACGCGGTCGAAGAACTCTCACACGTGAGATTTGCGATCTGGCCACGAAGTCGGAGAACTCTAACGCATGCAATCTACGATCTGGCCACGCGGTTGGAGAACTCTGCCGCATGCGATCTACGAACTGACCACGCCATTAGGGAACCTGGACGTAGGTTTGTGACCTGCATGGGCCACCAAACTGTTGACGCTTGATTTTGGACACCAACGACTCGCACGTGCAAAGTGTTAAGAGAGCCTTAGAAATTACACGTGATGGATCCATGAGATTTGGATATGGTGCTCAGGTTATCTATATTGCTGAAACATAAATAAAAGATTGGCAAGAGGGGGTTTTTATAGTAGTTCGGATGCTCAAAAGCGAATCATATGTCTACTGTTATTTTATTATTCTCTGGCTATTTCTATGATATTGCTCGTAAGGGATACAAAGATGGAGAAAAGCTTTGATTAGAGAGAGAAATAATGAAATGAAGCTCAAATATATGCCTAACTCTCATCTGCGCAACCCCTCTTTTTCGTGAAGAGAAGTGTCAATTTATACACCTCTGAAGTCAATGTAATGAGTGTTTTGCAAGTTGTCTTGACACATGGACAACTCTCATCCGTTCTTCTCTTAAAATGAGATAGGGTTGATATAAGATATCTTTGAGGCGGTATAGACTTGCAGGAAGTACAATTTGTCTTTTAAGCATTTATTGAGCTGACATCATGATGACTTTTTAGGTATAACAGTATTCTTCTATTCATATAAGATCAAGCCATGAGTAAAAGCTTATGAATGCTTTCTATTTTGACTCCTAACTCTCTCAACTCAAGTTTCAATTAAAGCGCCACAGAAACCATGCCTTCTCCTTCCTCCTTTCAGTTCATCTTTCTCAATTACGTTGTCGTCCCAATATTATGGGCGGCGGTTATAGTTTTTTGTCTGTGGTGTTATAAACGCTGCTGCTTAGTTTCTCCATCATCACAAGATATCGAACAAGGAACCCCACAAATATTTTAGAGCGTGATCATCAAAAGGGAAAGGAACAGAGTATTGGCGAAGTTCGGTGGAGTAGTAGTTTTAGACAAAAAGGTGAAATAAGAAATTGGAGTGAGTGTGTTATATGCTTGGAGGAGTTCGAGGAAGGAGACGACTGTAGTGTTCTTTCAGAATGCAAACATATTTACCACAAAGCTTGCATAGATAGGTGGGTGATCCAGGAGAGACACTGCCCAGTTGTCGTTCTTCTGCTTCAATACAATAGCAAAAGATGGTTAGAAATAATGTACTAATTTATGGATTTTATTTTCTTTTGTGTAGATAATATTACAACAATTTTATGAGATTGTTACTGAGAAAATTCAAGAAATACAAAAGCCCTTAGGCCTGTTTTGGATTGAGGGATTTTATACAATCCATGGATTAGATAAATTATATTGTTTGATTTAAATATAAAATTCATGGATTGTAGATTCAAATTTCCATGCTCTCATATTGGTTAGATGAATATAATCCATAAATTTGATAAATAATTTCCAACTTTACTCTCAATATCCAAAACCAACAAAAATTCAACTTTCATCTAATTAAATACAAGTTAAATTATATTTGATAGAGAAGTCCAATTATAATAAATAATTTTTTTTGGAATTGGAAAAAAAAAAAAAAAAAAAAAAAAAAAGAATTCCAAGTTAATATAATATATTATC